TCTACTAAATATACAAAAAATTTACCTGGGTGTGGTGGTGCACACCTGTAATCCCAGCTACTCAAGAGGCTGAGGCAGGAGAATCACTTGAACCTGGGAGGTGGAGGATGCAGTGAGCCGAGATCTGAGTGCCATTGCACTGCAGCCTAGGCAACAGGGTGAGACTCAGTGTCGGGAAAAATAAAAAATTAAAAAAAAAAAAACAGGTGTTGGTTAAATGCACAAATTCCAGAGCCAGACCATCTGGCTCAACCCTTTCTCCTCCTAAAAGGGGAAACTTAGACAAGGAGCTGAATCTTTTTGTGCCTCAGTTTCCTTGGCTGTAAGATAAGAATGATAAGCCATAATATTTCATTTGATTCTTCCAACAACCTCATGAGGAAACAATAATCCTTACCTCACTGAGATACTGAGAGGACCAAGTGAATTAATTTGGGCCAAGTGCTTAGAAGAGTGCCTGGTATATAAGTGCTTTGTATGTGTTTGTTTGTTTTTGTTTGTTATTACCAGCTAAAATGGAACTTCTATGTAGCAATAGTATAAATACAGTTTAAAATCCACTTGGCCCACTGAAATTGCCTTTTCAAAAATTATAACAGTAAGAGAAATCTGACATAGCTGACTCTACTTTGCTTCTAACCTGTAAGCTATCCTTGTTCATTCCTGGGCATAAGCCAAACTAAGTTTTGTTTTTTTTTTTTTTTTTTTTTTTTTTTGAGACGGAGTCTCACTCTGTCACCCATGCTGGAGTGCAGTGGCATGGTTAAGGCTCACTGCAACCTCTGCCTCCCAAGTTCAAGCAATTCTCCTGCCTCAGCCTACCGAGTAGCTGGGACCACAGGTATGTGCCACCATGCTAGGCTAATTTTTTTTTTCTTTGAGACATAGTCTTGCTCTGTTACCCAGGCTGGAGTGCAGTGGCATAGTCTCAGCTCACTGTAACATCTGCCTCTCGGGTTCAAGCAATTATCCTGCTTCAGCCTCCTGAGTAGTTGGGATTACAGGCCTCTGCCACCACACCTGGCTAACTTTTGTATTTTTAGTAGGGACGGGTTTCACCATGTTGGCCAGGCTGGGCTTGAACTCCTGACCTCAGGTGATCTACCCACCTTGGCCTCCCAAAGTGCTGGGATTACAGGGGTGAGCCACTGTACCCAGTATAGGCCAAACTAACTTTAGGAGGAAGTTACAGTTTAACCTTGAAGTACAGATAGTAATAGCCCTTCCCAAAACTATCCCCTCCTCATTGGAGGACAGGAATCGTCTTTATAGAACCAATGAAAAGACAAAAGATCAGGATTATGAAGGGAGCCTGAAATCTGCTAAGATGTAGGCGTAAATGATCAGCAACCATTGTTCCAGAGGACACAAGATTTGTAACTTCTCCAGTGTACTCCTGTAGATAACATCATCACATGTTGTAGAACCTAAGATTGGTTTTCTTTTTCCTTTTTTTTTTTTTTTTTTGGCATGGGGGTGGCGGGGGGACAGGGTTTCACTCTCGTCGACCAGGCTGGAGTGCAGTAAAGCAATCTCATCTCCCTGCAACTTCCACCTCCTGGGTTCAAGCGATTCTCCTGCCTCAGCCTCCCAAGTAGCTGGGATTACAGGCACTCACTACCATGCCCAGCTAATTTTTGTATTTTTAGTAGAGACAGGGTTTCACCATGTTGGCCAGGCTGGTCTTGAACTCCTGACCTCAAGTAATCCACCCGCCTTGGCCTCCCGAAGTGCTGTGATTACAGGCGTAAGCCACCGTGCTCAGCCCTAAGATTGGTTTTCTGAGATGTTTTTCAGACTTTTGGATTTCTGAGGACTGGCTGACCACAATCAGATCCACAAATCAACCAGTCCTATAGCCCCACCCCAGAGACTGACTCTGCATAAGGACTAGTTTCCACACCCCTGTGATTTCATCTTCATCCAACCAGCAGAATCTATTCCCTAAACCCTGACTGCCAAGTTATTCTTAAAAACTCCAGCCTCCAAATTTCCAGGGAGGCTGATTTGAGTAATAATCTCCTGTCTCTCCATGTGACTAGCTTTGTATTAATTAAGCTCCATCTTTACAACAATACCAGTGTCTCAGTGAATCAGCTCTACCTGTGTGGCAGGCAAGAACCCATCAGGGGATTGTACTACCAGCGTTGAACTTTTGAGACTCCTGCCTTTGCTTTTTTTTTTTTTTTTTTTTTTTTTGAGACGGAGTTTTGTTTGCTCTTGTTGCCCAGGCTGGAGTGCAATGTCGCAATCTCAGCTCACTGCAACCTCCGCCTCCCCAGGTTCAAACAATTCTCCTGCCTCAACCTCCCGAGTAGCTGGAATTATAGGTGCCTGCCACCATGGCCAGCTAATTTTTTGTATTTTTAGCAGAGACGAGGTTTCACTATGTTGGCCAGGCTGGTCTCAAACTCCTGACCTCTGGCAATCCACCTGCCTTGGCCTCCCAAAGAGGAGAGGTGGGATTACAGGCATGAGCCACCACACCTGGCTTGACTTTTGCTTTTAGTCAGGGAGATTTTGATTATTTCAAAATGTTTGTATATATTGAAATTTTTTAAATCTTTTATATTGCACTATTTTCAATGCATAATTTAAATGAACATAAAACAAGTATGCACTATAGGGGCTTTAGGTGTTGTTGGGCTCAGAATCCAACACCCCAAAATATGGCATTTTGACATGTTGACGTGGAGAAACCTCAAGGTCTCTCACAAAGAAGTGGAAGTTCCTTTATCTGCCTAAGATTCAGACCCATCAAAGAAAGTAATTGTTTGTTCTTCCCCTTCCTGTAAGACCAAGAATGTAACCACACCTGAACAGACACTTTCACTATCAAAGAGAACTATTCACAAATTAATCTCTGTTCAGCGATCCATTCATTCTCCCTCCTAATCCCCTCAGCAATTCCTGTTCTCCCCACCTCCCACAACCTGTTTTACCATGATTCAAGCCCCCATTCTCTCTGTAACCTCAAGATGGTATACAAACTTCTGTACCTCATTGGGAGGCTAGGTCTTCATTTTGAAGGCTCCTGTGTGTATGTTAAATACATTGGTATGCCTTTTCTCCTATTAATGAATCTGCCTGTCAGTGATTTTGAAGCAAACCTTCAGGGGACCAAGGGCTTTGGCCTCCCAGTGTGAAAGTGCTATGGGTGATGTAAGGCCTCTTGTCACCCAGGCTGGAGTGCAGTGGTGCAATCATAGCTCCCTGCAACCTCAAACTCCTGGGCTCAAGCCATCCTCTTACCTCAGCCTTTCAAGTAGCAGGGACTACAGGCATGTGCCATCATGCCCAGGTTATTTATTTATTTATTTATTAAGTTTTGTAGGGCCAAGATTTCACTAAGTTGCCCAGGCTGGTCTCAAACTCCTGGCCTCAAGTGATCCTTCTGCCTTAGCCTCCCAAAGTGCTGGGAATACAGGTGTGAGCCAACACTCCCGGTTCTATGGTAGACACTTTGGAAATACAAAAGATAGAAGGCAAAGATGACCATTGTTAAAATCTTGACATATTTCTTCTGGTCTTTTTTTCTAAGCACATGGTTTTATTTCATCTGCTTGTTAATTGGTTGGTTTAATGTTTGTAGAAACAGAGGTCTAACTATGTTGTCCAGGCTGGTCTTAAACTCCTGGGCTCACGCAGTCCTCCTGTCTCAGCTTCCCTAAGTTCTGGGATTATGGGTGTGAGCCACTGCACCCAGCCAATATGTTTATTTTACATACATGTGATCAAATTGTATATGCAATTTTAGTATTTCTTTCTTCCCTTTATATTTATAAATATAGATTTATAACATGTGCTATCCCATGCTGTTAAAAACTTCATAAACTTCCTTTATGTAGGCTGCATAAGGTACTGTTGCTTGGCAGTTCCATAATATATTTACCATTCCATTTATGTTGGACATTTGGGTTTTTTCCAGCTGTTTTTTTACTGTGGGACAAGTCTTCTCTCGTGCACTTTTTTTTTTTTTTTGAGACAGGATTTCCCTCTGTTTGCCCAGGCTAGAGTGCTGTGGCGTGATCTTGGCTCACTGCAACCTCCACCTCCTGGGTTCAAGTGATTCTCCTGCCTCAGCCTCCCAAATAGCTGGGATTACAGGCACATGGCACTAAGCCTGGCTAATTTTTGTATTTTTGGTAGACGAGACTTTGCCATGTTAGTTAGGCTGGTCTCGAACTCTTGACCTCAAGTGATCCGCCTGCTTTCTTGATAGTTTCCCTTCTGACATTTCTTTTTTTTTTTTTTTTTTTTTTTTTTAGAGATAGTCTCACTCTGTCGCCCAGGCTGGAGTGCAGTGGCTTGATCTCGGCTCACTGCAATCTTCGCCTCCCAGGTTCAAGCGATTCTCCTCCCTCAGCCTCCCAAGTAGCTGGGACTACAGGCACGTGCCACCACGCCCTGCTAATTTTTTTTGTATTTTTAGCAGAGACGGGTTTTCACTGTGTTAGCCAGGATGGTCTTAATCTCCTGATCTCGTGATCCGCCCGCCTCGGATGCCCAAAGTCCTGAGATTACAGGCGTGAGCCACAGCGCCCGGCCCCCCTTCTGACATTTCTTCAGATCTTCCTCAGACACCCAAAGACCTTAAAATCCCTCTAACCTTTCTGTCAAAGTTTGCTTTCTGGAAAGAGCTGATAAACTCATTCATACTAAAGTCCACAAGGTTGTAAATCTTAATCCATTATCGCTTAAAAGATGCTTCTATCAATTTACGCCAAAGGAATGAAGCTCAAATTGTGAGGATTTAGTCATCAGAAAATCTAGTAGGGGAAATTCTCCCTACCCACAATCAGAGTAGATTCTACAATAGCAAAAAGAGTTCCGGGCTCACTAATTTTAGGAAAGCTGATAAGAAGACCGCTTGCAGCTGCGGAGGTACTGATTCGGTATACGGAGGGAAAGAGTTTGTATATGTGAGAGTGAACTGGGTAGAAAATGGAAGAGAATCAGAAATTCACTTAGCAACACCAAATATATTTGGCACCACTAACCTAGTTTCTCCTGTGTTTGCCTTTCCAATCCGTTGGACCTTAGGGGATGGACCGCCCACTTTCTCCCCAGAACAGCTCCCGGGTCCGGTTCTCAGTCCTAATTACTGCACCAAGCCTCCATGCTCCAGGGCCTGTGGTCACAAGGAGCGGAAGTAAAGTTCTAAGAGAAATCACCATCTCCTTGTGCAGGGAACACTTCCAAGCCCAGTGTCCACAGACAAATCACCTCCAGCGACTCGAAGAGGAGAATTAATAATCCCTGTGGGGGGGCACTGGAGGCTCCGCGTGAAAGTTTCCAGAGCCCTGTTCTGCCCCAGGACTCCTTTCTCTCCTCCCAGAGGCTTCAGGCTTTCGCGGCTGCTGGCACATCCCAGCCTGCGTAGCGGGGCAAGAGGGACCCAAGGCAGAATCAGCTTCCCCCAACTCGAAAGGGCACCCGTTCTCTAGGGTGCCGGCACTGGAAATAGCTGGTGTGGAGAACGGAGAGGGAGACGTGCAGGATGAAGCCCACGCCAAGGAGGGCAGTGGCTCCGCCTCTCTGGGTTAGGGACATAAGAAAACCCTGAACCCGAAGACCTAGCATGAGTGGGGCGTGGAAAGCGAGACAGACTCCAGTGGAAGGCTGTGGGGCGGGACTCAGGATTCCCGGAGAGGCTGCCCCAGCTCCTGCCGCAGCGCTGGGCGCCCTCCCACGCCTGCTCCCTAGGGACCCCAGGCGCCCCACGCACGCACCCACCCTCCTTCCCGGGCCCGCCGCTCCTCCCTCCTTCCTCGCTGGTTGGCCCGGGCGCCGCAGAGCGCGGCGGCGGCAGGAGGAGCCGGGCGCGCCTGCCACGCAAAACCACCGGGCTGGCAGGGCGGCAGGCGCGGTGCGCGATCCCGGGTGGCGGCGGCAACGGCGGTGGTGACCGCGGCGACTGCAGCGGCCAGCTCTCACCTATCCCCTGTGCACCAGCATCTCGCCGCGCCGCCAAGCAGCCAGCAGTCCCCGGGTCGCCCAGCCCACGCGCTCACGGCCGAGCCCAGGGCACAATAGCGGCGACAGCCATGGGGAAACCGGCGAGGAAGGGATGCGAGTGGAAGCGGTTCCTGAAGAATAACTGGCTGCTACTGTCCACCGTGGCCGCGGTGGTGCTAGGTGAGCGGCGCGGCGGGTGGGCGATGAGCGCACCCTCACGCGCTCTCTGCGCCCAGGCCGCGTGCGGCTGTGAGGGTGGGCTTGGCGCTGGCGCACTCCATGCAGGGTCCCTCAATGCCCCCTCGGCCTTAGCCTCGAGTCCCCCGCGGGGCCTTCCCTCCCCCACCCTCAAGCGCTCTAATTACTGCACAATAAGAACAAAGCTCCTCAGGGACTCCCATTTGAGTGCTCCTTGAGCTGCTGGTTCCTGCTCTACCCAAAATGATCAAAGGGGCTTGGGAGTCGAAAGGGAAGCAAGTAGCTCTTGGTTCTGCTCGTTTGAAAACAGGGTTCGATTTTTTTCTTTGTTAATCCCGCACCGTATCTCCCCCTAACATCGCCACCTTCCTCACCCCCACACCCCCAACCACGCTGCCCGGACAGAGATTGAGTGTGGACTACAGTTCTCCGTCGAATTGGAAGAGGCACCTTGTCCTCCGGGATGGGCCGGACCCTTGGGGGAGGGAGGCTGAGAACGCTGTCGCCGCTCACCATGGGCAGTGCGTGGAACGGTGCCTTCCCACGCGGCGAGCGTCGACTGCCTGCACCCGGGCTCTGAAAAGCTGCCACATTCGTGCCTGAATTCTGGGATGTGCCATTGTGACCCGCGGGAGGTCACGGGGGAAGAGAGTTAAGAGAACTCAGCCGCCTCCCCTCCTGCCTTCCTTGCTCTCCACGTTGTTTTTGTATTTAAAATAATGTTTAAGCCATCCTTGCCTGTTTTTAAACAAGTGTGTATTTAAGTGATCCACCCCTCACAGATCACTGGACCAGGTGGATGTCTGAGCCATTGCTCAGAGGTATGAGTTATTTAGATTCTGATTTTTTGCCAAGGTTGTGTGTTTCTAGCTCTGGCCCGGGGATGCGCTTCCTTGGGATTAGGGCCATATCTATCTCCTTTCCCGTGATAGCTCCTCAGCAGGTGAGGGCTGTTGCACCCTCTGAGGAATGTGGATTCCTCGGCAGGCTCCACCTTCCCTTTGGAAACTGCAGCTGTGTTTGCTGAAAAGGCAAGTGGGGACAGCTTGTCTCCTCCCAAACTCGAGTACCTTCCTCTCCAGTTGCTGCTCCTAAATCTCAGAATATTTGCTGTTGTCTGCTTCCCCTCCGAACCGCCCCCTCCCCTTAGGGTGGGAATAGGGCAGGGAAATGGCCTTTGGAAGTTAATGGGATTGTTGGGGTCAGATTGGATTCTCCAGAACCTTGTGCAAAGGAAAGTCAGGTTTCTAGTAAATAAATAACATCCTGGAATGACCCTAGCAGAGGCTATTTGTAGGAGGAAAGGAGAGAAGTAGAGAAGCAAATCTTGACTATTTCCCCCAACAAGTGCCAAGTGGTTTTGGAATTTTTTTTTTCCTTCGGTTTTGGACATTTTTAAGGGAAAGTTTATCCTACTCCACCATATTTAAATAGCATATGCTACAAAGAACGACTTGATTTCCTTTAGGCCAAAGAGAAGAGATGGCTTTGTTTGTTTTCCTAGTGATAAGAGTCGAGGATTAATTGTTAAAGCTCTTTTTGAAGACTTTGAGAGAGGGCCAGGGCGAGGTGGCTCACGCCTGTAATCCCAGTTACTCAGGAGGCTGAGTCAGGAGAATTGCTTGAACCCAGAAGGCAGAGGTTGAAGTCAGCCAAGATTGTGCCACTGCACTCCCGCCTGGGTGAGAGACCAAGAATCTACCAAAAAAAAAAAAAAAGGAAAGAAAAAGATGACTACACCTATAATCCCAACATTTTGGGAGGCCAAGGAAGGAGGATTGCTTGAGCCCAGGAGTTGGAGACCAGCCTGGGCAACATGGCAAAACTCCATCTCTACAAAAAAGTACAAAAATTAGTGTGGTGGTGCACATCTATACTCCTAGCTACTCAGGAGGCTGAGGTGGGAGGATCACCTGAGCCCAGGGAGGTGGAGGCTGCAGTGAGCCATGATCGCAACACTGCACTCCAGCCTGGGCAACAAGAGTAAGACCCTGTCTAAAAGGAAAAAAAAAAAAAAAAAGACTTTGCAGGGTAAACACTGGCTTGTGCCTCCCTCCTGATTCCCTGTGAAAGTGGAGTTATCCTGCCTTTTCAGCATGGGGCTCTCCAGAGATACTCACTTGTTACCCAAGTGTTGCACACCACCGGTCAGCATGCAATTCACTAGAGACTGGTTTGGAAAAGATTTTAAGCAATTGTTCCCTGGCCTTTGGAATCGGTTGCATGAATACGTCTTCAGGGTCAAGAAGAAGTACATGCCCATTTTGCAGACATGGCCTTTGGTCTCAGATGGGCACTTTCCTCCAATTTTAATGTATGTGAGCCCCAAGAGCTTGGTTTGAGTACTTTTCTCCAGAAAGGAAAGTCACCACTTAAAAATCAAGTGTCCAGGGCCGGGCGCGGTGGCTCAAGCCTGTAATCCCAGCACTTTGGGAGGCCGAGGCGGGCGGATCACAAGGTCAGGAGATCGAGACCACAGTGAAACCCCATCTCTACTAAAAATACAAAAAATTAGCCGGGCGCGGTGGCGGGCGCCTGTAGTCCCAGCTACTCAGGAGGCTGAGGCAGGAGAATGGCGGGAACCCGGGAGGCGGAGCTTGCAGTGAGCCGAGATCGCGCCACTGCACTCCAGCCTGGGCAACAGCGTGAGACTCCGTCTCAAAAAAAAAAAAAAAAAATCAAGTGTCCAGCTGAAATCTTCCTGGATATTTGCTCCCTCAGATGGCAACAAAGGGCAGTCCTGCTTCCGGTCTGAGAAGTCTCAAACCTAGACCACCCCCAATGTGCCCATTAACAGGGATCCTTTCCTTTTCCTTTTTCTTCAGAGTACTGGGCCTGAGTGGAAAATCATACTTCTGTTTGTGTAGTCTGTAAGGGCTGATTTGTTTAACTGGCAGTGAAATTCCAGTGACTTATAACAGTGGCACTGAGTCTATTCGTAAACCCTTGCTAGATCATGATAGTAAGAATTTATTTTATAACTGCCTTAACTGATCCAGAAAAATACAGGAGCTCTGATGCAGCCTCCCTTCTGGACTTTTCAGCATGTGGACCTTAAAGAAAAAAACTGTGAAATGTATTAACTATCCTGACAAAACATCATTTTCTGATTATAGCCATTGAAATGTTTGGTCCCTGACCAGGTGCAGTGGCTCTCACCTGTAATCCTAGGACTTTGGAAGGCCAAGGTGGCAGGAATGAGTGAGTCCAGGAGTTTGAGACTGGCCTGATCTCATCTCTAGTTCTAAAAAAAATTTAAAGAAATAATAATGAAATGAGATGTTCAGTCACTACTATAATTTAGTAGCCCTGACACTTTAAAATATTTGATTATAGAAATAAGGGGCAAAGATTTTTATGAGCCAGCTTAAAGTCTGATTTTTCAAGATACAGCACATGAGGGGAAATGTAATAAAGGTCATCTTTATCAGGAGTGGAAGTTCACTCTTTTCATGGACAAGGAAATGCTAAGAACCAAACATTTCTCAAATTCTTGTTCACAAGATGAAGGGATTGAATAGTTAGGTGACCATCTTGGTTAATTTCTGTGACACCTTACATGCTTCCTGAAAATAATATCTTCGATTTTCACAGGAAAATCCTCTATCCCCTACTAAAATACCACTAGGAACATTTTCACGGCTTTCATTATAATTCTTATAGGCTTATTCTTTACTTCCATAGAATGGTAGAATGAGCACAGAGTGAAAAGTCCTTGGGATTTGAATTCTGGTACTATCAAGCTCTATCATGTAGGCAAATTGTGTATTCCCTACAAGCCTCAGTTTCCTCATCTGGAAATTGGAGATATTAGTCATTACCTCGTTTGTTATTAGAGGTGATTAAGATAATGTGAAAAATACTCAGTTGTGTGGCTGGCATATATTCAGCACTCAATAGTTGTTATTTTAAGGTAAATATGAATAATTTGATTATGAGAAAATTAATATTTTCTTATTAAATAAATTATCTCATATTTTGTCTCTGTCTCTGTTCTGCTTAGTGTCCCACCTATAATTTAGGGTGATTCAAGTGTTTTGATGACCTGCTCTGTCTGAGCTAGTAACTGTCTCCGTAGCATTATTCATTTCTTTAAAG